TTAATGATTATCAAAGTTCTGATAAAATATTTTTTGGGAATATCCGCGAAAATCTTTTTACTAATGCATGTTTCTAGTTATACTTACTTTTATACAATGCATGTTTTTAATTATACTTACTAAAACTAGCTTCAAAAGATTACTTTGTAAATTAGAACTAAGAACAACTGCAAAGCCTTCTTTAAAAAAATCATTCATAAGAAATACAGTTGCTTGTAGCGTTGTTATAAGAGCACAAGAAGTTTTTTTGGTTAATGTAAAGTATTTATCAAATTTTATTTTGATTAAGTTTCAGTACTATTTGCAATTTCTCTATAAAGTGTGGGTTTGTTATCACCTTTGCTGAATTTGATCGGATAAATTAAGTTTCTGAATAAACTAAAGTAGGCAATCAGTTAACAAAAAATGTAAGTACTTAAATAAAATCTTATTTTATTAAAATGGTTTAATAACTATTAAACCGTTTTAATAAAATAAGAATAAACCAATTATAGTACAACCAAGACTCATAACCATAGCGAAAATTAAGTTTTTATACTTGAGCAGTAAAAAAACTGGCCTCTTAATTTTTAATGGAAAATGCAACGAATCAGGCCGTGTAATTTAAGTAGGCTGTGTATGGACGCAATACGACTGCTCGGAGGTGTTCAAGTTGGGAGAGACGGCGAAACCATAAACTTCAATGTGGATCAACTAACTATTGGCACTACTGCAGTCTCTCAAGGAAAAACGAATGAAGTATCCACACCTACTGTTCAAAAGCTGATTGATAAAGACTTCGTAGTAGAATTCAAAAATGGCAGTTGGAGCGTGTCTTGAAAATGACTGATGGAACCACCGACAAAATTTCAAACTATCACATCTCTGAAGACGTTAAAAGTGGGTACGAAATGGAAATAAGTGAATGGATAGCACAGGAATGGCTGAAACCATTTGAAGGGAAATGTAATAGCATCATTCCGTTGATGGCAGTAATTCAACGAAACAAATTAAAAGTACGTCCGGTGATGAGCTACCGGTAGCTGAATCAATTTGTATCCAGTCATACTGCAGATGGTGATGTTTGCAGTACCATACTTCGCAACTGGAGAAAGTTGGAGAAAATCTTGAGATAACCTATTTAAAAAAAGCGTATCTGCAGATTTAAGTCGACAAAGTATTATGGAAATATCAAGTTGTGGAATATGAAGGGAAACGATACTGTCTAACAAGATTGGGTTTTGGTTTAAATGTGGCGCCCAGAATAATGACAAAAATCTTTAAAAAGGTATTATCTTTAGACAAAGTTGTCAAGTCTGGGACGGATTCATTTATTGATGACATCATTGTCAATAACATAGTGTCAAGTTGCAGAGTTCAAGAACTCTTGAAAAAATATGGTTTGGAGTCTAAGCTGCCAGAAAAACTTGTCGAAAGGCGTGTGTTTGTATTGCAAGTGTACAAATAATTCAACCAATTGCGTTAAAAACGTGACAACATACTCAAAGTTCCTTAAGGAAAAATGACGTGTCGGCAAATCTTTTCTTAGTGCGGACAGCTGACTGGACATTTTACAATAGCAAATTTTTGCGCCTTTCGTGCAGCTATCTAAAAAGGGTTTCGAGTAGTTGTGGATGGGACACTTTCGTGAACGATCGTGTTGTCAAAGTGATCGTCTTCGTTTGTAATCGTTTGTCATTACTAAGCAGTTTAAATGAAAGACTTACAAAGTAAGATTCCGTTCATGGGTCATGGAAACGTAAAAAACACTTCTGAAGCAACAGTGTAATGCGATGCAAGCAGTTTAGCTGTTGGCATAGTTCTTGAAGTAGCTGGGGAAATAGTGGAAAACAAGATGATGCGGCTTACATTAATCTCGCAGACTTGGAAGCTGTGATAAAAAGAATTAATCTAGCAACAAAATGGGGATTCGAATATATTACCATAAAGTGTGACTCGGCTACTGTTGTTGGTTGGTTGAAATCCTTAATTATCGGTGACAAACCCATTTGAGTACATGGTCTTGGAGAACCACTTGTCCGTCGCCTGTTGTCATTAATTGAAGGAGTGATTAATTGTCATTAATTGTGAAGGAGTGCAGTATACAGTTAAAACTTTTCCTGGTTAAGTCAGCAGAAATTAAAGTCGATGCTCTTACGAGGGTACCACAGAATCGGCTGCATTCAAACCATTCTGCAATGACAGCAAATCTCATACCACCTGATGTGAAGTCGTTTCATAATCTTCATCATTTTGGAGTAAATTGAACCCTTTATTTAATGAAACAGACATATCCGAAGGAGAAAGTTTGTACAAAAGACATTGAATTAGCCGTAAAAAGTTGCGAAAAATGTTTATCGGTAGATCCTGCTCCAATCAGATGGGAAGAAAGAAATCTTGAAGTTGAAAAAAGCTGGTACTGTTTAACTATTGACGTTACCCACTATAAATTAGAGATTTATTTGTCTACCATTGACTGTGGCAAAAGGAGCAAGTTTGAAATTTGGAGGAAGCTACAAAACGAAAAAGAAGCAACAGTGTGTTTCCATCTAGAAAAAATATTTCGAGAAAGAGGAACTCCGTGGCAAGTTCTTTTTGACAACAGCAAGACCTTTTTGCTCAAAACTCGTTGGTGAATTATGCGCTGAATGGGGAGTGTCTATCCTGTTTCGTTGCGCTTACAGGCCATCTGGAAATGGAATTGTTGAACGTCATCATCGCACAATCAAGCGCATGGCAGCAAGAAGTGGCAAAGATCCGTTAAAAATGGTATATTGGTATAACGTGGCTCCCAGAAAAAATGGCGAGGAAACATCGCTCCCCCTACAAAGCTATATTTTCTTATGAGTAGAAACCACACAAAATATTTGCCAAAAACTAGCGAGGAAGTTCTCCACAACTATACACAAGGACAAGAAGTATTTGTAAAACCACCTAATTCAAAATGTACTAGCAAATGGAATAGAGGAAGAGTCTCAGATGAAGGACGAGGAGTTTCAGTAGAAACCAATGGATTGCCGAGACACATGTCGGACGTCCGTCCAGCTCTCATTGTAGCTGACTTGTCTACAAGAGAACCGGAAGAACCCACCGCAAAAAACCTGAAACTCAGAAGATCCACGCGTGTGCAGAAGTTTCCAAATAAGTATGCGGTCTTTGTGATCTAGAGATCAAGGGGCGTTGTAATTAGTGTAAAAAATTGTATTATATATAAACTTTTAGTTTTTTGCGTCAGAAGGAATGTTGTAAGCGTGTCGTATATATTATATTGTACATAACGTTTATACTGTTTATTATACCCTCGGGGGTATTTGCAAATGTATATATATTGAGTAAAGATATTTAGACGGCAGTAAAAAAATAACAAATATATATTTATTATTACAGATTTGTTTTTTTTTTTGGTGCTATTAGAGAGCTGAAGTCTTTTTTAGTCACTTCAAATCAATTGTTCGTTTATTTTTTAAATAGAAGGCTAATAATAATAAATACTTTTAGACAGTCGAACTGTTACTGAATTGAGTAAGTTTAATATTTTGTTATATTTTATATTGAATTTATTTTATATTAGATATATATTTTTTGTATTTAATATGGAAAACTGACTGTAATAATAAAAAAAGAATAGTAAAAAATGAAATGTTAAAAATAAAAAAGAATAGGAAAAATGTGAATATATATGCCTACATATATTACTGCAGACTGACATTGCTTCATTTTTTTATACAAGATTCTGCATTTGTTATTTTTTTGCATTAAGATTGCGCTTGAAGGTAAAAAAAAACTTTGTGCATTGTAGTTTAAATTCTTTAAATTAAAATAATGTATATAAATTTTGTTTTATATTTTTAATAAACAACTTCTGTATATAAACTTATTAAAATATATGAATATCAATAAATCTTAATTTAAAATATAGTCTTTGATTATAAAAGATCACAACTCGTAAAATTATTTTACGTTCATTTTTTCATTTGTAACAGGAGTATAATCACTAGTAATATGTTTAATGAAAACAGATGAATAATTAGGCTCAAAAATGTTTTTAGTATAAGTGTTAATAGGCAACTTTAAAAAAATTGTTGTCAAATGAAAAGATAGATCTAGGCCTGATAAAATTAATTTTCATTGAAATGTAAGAAATTCTGCTCAATGAACAGTAAACTAACTTTCCAGAATTCAGTGTCAAGCGGTGTTGATGTCTATTAATTTGATTTTACATTAGACACTTTAGAATAAAGCAAAGTATGAATTTTACTATTTATTGTAACAATTAATAACAGTTTGAAATTTAAATGACTTTAATTTTTTTTTTTTTTTTTTTTTTTTTTAATTTTGTAATCTCAAACATAATTTTTTTTTTTTTTAGTTGCCTTTGTCATCACTTAATTATTTTGCTTACTGTTGAAACACGGTTTTAATTTTGTAAATTTAACATGATGTGAAATTTACTATATTAATCATTAGTCAACACTTAAAGAGAAGCTGAATCTTAATTAAGCAATGCACAGTGATCATTTTGGGGGTCAAAACCTGTAGAAAATCTAAAACATTTTTTATGTGTTCAAAAAGAGCCGGTATGAACATATTTGAAGTAAAAATTATAAATAACCCAAAAAATTGCTTTAAAAAATAAAATATTCACTTTTTTAAGTTAGATTTGACACTTTGCAATTAATGCTAGGTTGCAAAAATGAATTATGTGTCTCATTACCTTAAGATCAAAATGGATTTATTAAATAGAAGAAATTTCACACAAATATCATATCAAACATGATAATGGCAGAAAACATTTTTACTTAAGCATGAGGAATACCCACAGGGAGATTACCAACCTGCCCATCATGTATGACAGTTTTTAAATGTATTGCTAAAAAAAATTAACACAAATGAGGTTCTAGTTGGTTATATTAGGCACAACATAAGTGCTTACATCAAAGAAAATATTTTTTTACATAGAGTTAAGCATATCAATTTTGTTTGATCTGGTTGAAACTAATAATATTAGATAAATAACAAAATTGGGAATGTATGAGAATTTTTTTAATTTTTATGAGAGGCTTTGGTTGCTTTGTTTGACTTCTTTATTCTTCTTCTGAATCAGAGGCATCTCTAGAAGTTTGAAGTTCCGGCATCTTCAAGAGTTTCTTGATGGGTTCAGGCAAGATCTCTGAGTTGTGCTTCTTTTTCTTGCAGTGGACATAAGCCTAAAAATTATATATAACATTTAATGGATGAAAGAAAATATTGCTATCAAAGCTAAATTGGGAAATTCAAATGAAAAAAGGTCCTGTTTCAGAAATCATTTAAATTAAATAAGCATGAAAAATTATTGAAATTGGAAAAATTTTGGATATGCTTAATTTCAAAATTACCTGTATCTTTGGATCACTGATGTCCATCAGTCTCAAGAAAAGGTCAGACATGCCATTGAGCCAGGATGATTTTCGAGCATGATAAAGACGGATTTTTCGAAGAAATTTGTTGTTAGCCTCTCCTGGTTCCTCATTGGTCATTCCGATTGGAAGAACACAAGCTTCAATGATTTGTTTTCCATGTTTCAGAACCTTGTGAATTGTTGGGGACAACCAGTACCATTTTACATGGTCAAAATAAATCTTCTCAGTCTCTTCACACAGAACTCCAAACTTGTCTGGATCAATGGCATATCCAGATGCAAGGGCAGACCAGAGTGTTCCAAGATTTTCAACCAGTTTGACAGGGACATCACAGATTCTTGCAACAATTTCTAAAAAAGAAAGAAAATATGTAGGAATATACAGATATCAAGATTTGAATTTCTCCAAATTGACAGCAAAGCTATGATGTGATGCTCATGCAACTTGACAAGACATAATATCTAAAAACTAAATTATTTCTGAATGCTTCCCAAAAAGTGGTGAAAGTACCAAAACTTGCAAGTGTAGCTACCTGGGTTTTGAAAAGCTCTTCGAGCAACATTTCCTGTTGTTGTAGTGCCAGCACCTCCATCCCGCCTCTGGTCAACAATTAGACCCAGCTGCTCCCGAAATTCTTGCTTGACTCGTCTTTTTTCATCAGGGCTCATATGAAGATGGAACTTTTTGACATCTTGGCGATATCCAATGTTGCAAATTGTATCAAAACTACGCAAGCCAAAGTGCAAGATGCTTATTATTTAGAATTTTTACGCTCGCCGACAATTACGATCGCATGCGCACACATGCTTGCGCGAACTTTAAAAGTCAATAAAATAAGCTCCCGCAACTCCCCGCAACAATTCATGTGTCATTTTAAAGGTCTTTATTTCCTCTTTTCACCTGATTTGGTCCCAATTTGTTGGGATTTGTTGGGAAAAAGTTGCAGCACTGTTTTTGACATGTAGTACACTTTTTTTCTGATGTTTGAAAAAATCATTACTATACATAGCAATATAGTTTTTAAATTTTTTTTTTTTTACTTTTCTAATATTTTTTTATATGTATTACTAAAATTATTAAACAAAAATTTGAAAATTTTCACCCATTATTTTCTAAGACCCACTTTAAAAATAGTCATTTTTCAGTAAATTTTTCACTACTTTTTTCCTCCTGTTGTTCTACTCATAGCCAACCTATTTTTACTTCAATTTCTCTTAAACCTCATATTATAGCTCTCCAACTATCCTATTTTTTGATGAATACCATAAATTTAAAAAATCTTTTTATGACACTTTTGGGATTTTCTGCAGATTTTGACCCCAAAAATGACCACTGTGCAATGCTGGAAATTAACTTTTAATTCAAGTAAAAATAATTTTGTTTATTGGTAGCTTGATAAAATCAGTTACTGTTTTTTATTGCATATCTTTTTTACTTTTTTTAACATGCTGCTTTTAAAACACTTCCTCTCTCGCTCTCTTAGATAAGACTTAAATGAGAGTAAGTACAGAGAGAATTGACAAAACTCATGGTAAACATCCTATCAAGTTATGGTAGGTGAAAAGTGTTACACAAATAGTGTTATACTTTCTATTGTTCTTAATTTAATGTCTTTAGATTTTCATTTCGAAATTTACTGTTAAAGGCTGTGAGTACATTTTGCATGTGTAACTTTATTTATTATTATTTTTTTTTTTTCTAAGTTTTTGATAAATATATCTGTCATTTAATATAGTTATAAAGTGTGTTTATATGTGTTATATAAAGTCATATTTGTTTATAGCTGTATAATTGTTTAAATTGAGTTTTTTCCATGTTTTCAAAGTGGTGTGACTTAGTATTATGTTGAACAAGTTTGATATCCTTGCCAGCCAAGCGGTGTACTTATAGCAGAGGTGTGATTTGACAGCATTTAATGCCAGGCAGTGTTATTGCTTTAGAGCTAGGTTGTGTTGTCTAGCCTTTTTAAATTAATAATGCCTGTTAAATTTAGCGTAATGTGTATGAGAGAGTATGGAACCTTAATCTTTAAATCTAGCTTGCTTTAATGTCCTAAATTTGAAATAATTGAATAATTAATATTGAATATAAAAACAAATATTTTTTATTAAAGTTTAGTAAAAAGATAAATATAGTTAAGTCTAAAATATTTTTTTAGTTTTGGCTTTCATATATTAATTTAGTTTGTTACTTTCACTGGATTTTTATGTGTTATTGTTTTTTTTTTTATGTGTTATTTCACTGTATTGTTATGTGCTATTGCTGTAATTTTAATGTTGTGATGTTTTGTGTTGATAGACAGCTTGGCTTACCTTCCCGTTGGCGTCTATTGTTAAAAACGAATAATAGGTAGTTTCATTATTGAAACTTATTGCTTTTATTTATTTACTAAAAACGAAGACAACATTTTGCTAAAAGTGCAATTTAAATCTTACTTTGATTTTTTTTTTAGTATTGTTAATCCTTTTGTACTTCACAACAGATTTTATAGTTACATTTTTGATAAAATTTATATTAACTGCAATTTCAAAATAAGTAACTAAAAATAGGTAAATCGATTTTCAATTTTTCTGAAAATCGATTTACCTATATATAGTTACTTATTTTGAGTTTTAGCGTTTTTTTTTTTTTTTTTTTTTTTGTAATTATGATATAATTCCATTACTCTTTATTTTAGATTTACGTTATGACACATTTATAAGATTTATTAAAAAAAACTTTATTTCCTTTTATTGTAAATTTTTGTTAGTTAAAAAGATATAAATATATGCAATTAGTTTAATTTTTTTTTATATTTTATGCCTTATAAATTGTTGTACGTATCTTAGTCGATCTTTGTAAACGAGGGGGGGTCGTAATTAAAAACCTTTCAAAACATAGAGAATACTGTAGTTTTGCACATTTGTCAAATATCGAGTTACTTAAGTTTTATTTACATTTTTAACTAATTAGTCAGCTTAGTCTGTATTTGCAACAATTTTGAGGAAAGAAAGAAAACATTCTTGTATATGGAAATCATTGTTTTACATTTTTATTATTTTGCTTAAAGAAAAACTTGATTACTCTTAATAAAAAAAACCCTACTCACCAGGCCACCATTAAAGTAAGAAGAGGGGAGGAACCTCTTTATTAGTGTCAAAATATTTAGGAAATTAAATTTCGAGTAACAAAAGGAATTTTTGATAAATGGTAGCAAAATACCATTTACTAAAAATTAATGAAATAAAAAGGCCAAACAAATAACATAGAAATGGTCTATGTTGAGCAGACTTAACAAGACCCGGGTCCGGTCAGCTTGGTTTACAAGTTCTTATGTCTATTTATCTGTTACAATTTTTGTTTTAGGTCTGCCATATGACGCACTAATGCAATATTAAAGATCAAAGTTTTTATATTTATTTTAAATTTGTTGTACGCGTGTTTGATTGTAAATTAAATTTTTTTTGTTTGAAACGTATTTGTACTCAGCTGCTTAATAGTTCCTGTATAATATAAGTTATCTTCATCTTTATCTTAATAATTAATTAAAGTTCATGTTATAAAAATTATTTACAAAGATTTAGTTAATACTTTCGTCAATTTAAAGCATAATGAATTTTTATTATTTTGTGTCAGTAACTAAAAACGTATTGTGTTGAAATTAGGAATGTCGAGGAAAATGGTTCTGCCTTACACTGTTATGACCTATGTCAGTTGCAAATTACTCAAATAATGTTAAGTAGTAATTGTAAATGTTAAGTACCTCATACTTTTTATTTTAATTTTATAGATGGATTAATTTTTTCAAGTTAAAGGCGTTTTTCTAAAAGGGTATTAGTTAAGGTTTTGCAACATTAAATTATGTTAAACAGCCACTATAAATTAGTTATGTAACAGACCGACCATAACCCGTATTACAGGTTGCTTTTTGCTAGTGACATATAAAAAAAACATTAGACTATGTAAAAGCATCTAGAAACAAAGATCAAAATACAATACATGGTGCAAGAGATCATACGTTGTCATATTAATTGTTTAATTTTTTAAATTTTATTGTGAGCCAACTTTTTAATGTACATTTAAATTGTTGCAGTTTTTGAAAATTTAAATATGCCTATTTTTAAAATTAAAAATAAAAAGAGTTTTCGCAACCTTTTGGTTAACTTTGTTATTCGTGGCATGGTACCTGAACGAAACATTTCTCTTGCTTAAATAATGCATCGCTAAATTTGGCCTTTAAATTCAAATTTTTTAAATATGTTTTGATAAGTTAAATAACCAGAATTGTGTTATTGCAAACATTATACTAATTTTATTTTGACCTCCATATCCATCACTAATGAAATAAAATATGTGTCTATATTTACTATATTTGCCATAAGTGTTGATAAAAAATGATACACTGCACTGGCATCGGTAAATAATTAATTCCAATAATTAGCTTTGGTTCCGGTAGATTTTTAAAAATATATTATTTAAAGCATGTAACTAATATTTATCCATATATAACAATGTATATTTTTTTACCATATTAGATTATATACCATATATAATTTTTTTATATAGTATAACCATAGCAGTAAGGTGTTTAAATATATAAGTTTTGCTGCCCAGGTCTGCCGTTTAATTTCAGACCGGGTGTATTCTACTAAAAATTATAACTTTTTAAACATAAAAAGGAAGAACAAAGTTCTTCTGAGAACTTTCTCTGAAAGACTATAGTTCTGATGATGTTAATAGTGATTTGAAAACGCACTCATTAAAGGATATCACCCCAAGATTTAAATATCTAGCTTGCAAATTCAAAAGGAAGTGACCCACATAAAAATCTAAAAAAAAATTTCTTTTATATACTTTTTTTATATTATTATTGCATTATTTTTGCATTGTTATTGCGTTATTTTGGGTAGAAATTACCCCAATTTTGTTTTATAAAAAAATGTTAAAATGTTTTATTGTTAAAATTTTATATCAACAATTTGCTTACCCCTATAACATTTTAAAGTTACGTTACGTCTCAATCGGTTACAATTGGTAACAAGGTTACATTCTCTACTTTTTATTTAACTATTAAGTAAATAAACTTGAAAATGCAGTAAATGTTTGTTCATCATTACCGTATTGCTAAATACTATCTTTTATTT